CGGACCATTGCCGCAGCACTTCGCACAGCTCGAACTGTCTCCTCCTCGCCTGCCTTCTCTTCTTGCCCACCCCACTCCTCCAGCGTCTGAGCACGTTTTGAGTGTAGTTGTCCAGGACCGGGAAAAGTCCTATCTTGCTGTTGTTCAGCCAGCGATTAACGCCTTGCAGATCTTTCGAGTAGCATTTCCTGACATCGATATCTTTGCGGCTGACTGTGCCCTCAGTTGTTTGCTCGGATACACTTCGTCTGCTCCGCGCCATAGCCTGAGTTTGCCCACTAACGGCAGGGATACTGCGGCCTGAGAGCATCGCCATGCTCACGACCAATACTAGCAGCAGAATAACCAGCAGTACCACGACCGACGGCAGTGACCGCCACAGGGTGTTAGTAAGCGTGCGAGGATGGCTCCGGCGAGAAGGGATCGGCGCTGTTGGCTGCGGCAAGGCATTCAGGCAAACGTAGCAGGTGTGCGCAGCGCCCGCCCGCTCCATCCAGCAGTGAGCCGCGACCGGAATTGTCGACACTCGTGTGTCCGCCGCTCCCGGGCACGGGCAACGTACAATGGTCGACAGCACACGCACACACAGGTCACGATTGCCGTCGGTCGGGCACGCAGGAAAGCACACGTAGATCCACGTGGCACGCCACTCTCTGACTGCTCGCACCGGTGTTCTCACCTTTCAGCAAGCCGCTTCCGGCGTGCGAACGAATCATCCGCAAAATCTTGATCCTCTTATGCCAAACAAGCCGTCCTCCAGCGTGCAGCACAGCACGGCAATCAGGCAATCAGGGTACTGCGCAGCCGGCGAGGCGCACTTCCCTTGCTCGGCTTTTCAGTCACCGGCAGGCAGCGGCCTGTGCGAATCGAATGAATGAGGACAACAAGGCTTCATCGACGAGGACGATGCGGAGTTCGTCCACATTCTGCTTCGAAACGTCAGCTACTGGCAGCAAGCCAAACCGAGAAACAGAAAGGACTTTAGGAGATAACCTCCCACCTAAATAGTCCACAGGCCACCGTTGGGGGGCCCGGGACGGCTGTGAGAGATAACGGGAAGAGCTTCAGTACTCCCTTTTTCATCTAAAAAAACTTGCGCATCTACACCCATACGCTCTACTACACATATGGATGAACTGCTTGGTGCTGTTAGCACCATCACCGCTGACAAGTGACAGCGATAATTTTTTTTATTTCAGGTGCATGATATTGTGCAGCGTTGCATTATGCAACGGCCTTAGCTTTGGGTCATGCTAAGTAAGAGTATAAAGATGACCTGTTTTACTCTGTCGTGTCGCGATGATGATGCGGTGCCAGGGCTGTGTGTTGTCAGTTGGCATCGCACGGGACCGTGCCACGCGGGTCAGCGATGTACATGTACTTGACATAAGATCCTCGATCGCACTAATTATCATAATGTGCTTCAACGAATAGGGACTCGAACTAGCTCGCCGGTCCGAGCGTTACTGCGCAGGAAGTTTGTGGGTGCAGTTATGTGTCGTTGACACTGGGCGCGATCCTGAGGGCTAGGGCCGGGGAAATGCTTCCGATCTCCGCTCGAGCGCTCTAACGCGGTCACGGGACATGGATTTGCATACTAGTACTCAGTAACCTCATCCAGAACCTATCATCATCAAGCGACGTTCACTGATTGCTCTTTTGTAACCATCACATTGTACGTTTCTTTTGGCTCGAGAGATACATCACAAGTACATGTATAGTGAGATAGACCGCAACGTGTGATCACTACGTGTACAAAACTAGTACTAGCAGTACATGTAATCTCGTTTAGACATGCCCACTGTGTGCAGATGGTGGTGCGAGGGCGTGATCATCGGACGTGTCACACGATCGGCGAAAGGACCATCATCGCCATTATCATCATCATCACCGTCCTTCAGCAGAATCTAGGAGAAGAAGAATACCATTCTGTCACCTCACTGAAATGCATATCCACACGTGCCACAAAGTGCGAAGTCTAGGGCGGTGCAGAGAAGACCATGGAAGTAGTGTGATCTGCGTGGTCATTCAGCGCCGCAGCTACACCTCTCAGACCGCAGTGCCTGACTCTAGCATGATGCCGGTTTGGCCGGTTCCCGTGTCACTGCTCCTCTCCATAGATCTACGACCTACGCGTCCCCACCCCAACACATTACATGAGAAAGGACAGGATTCTGTAGCCAGTGTACATGGTGTAGCTCTCAAAGCCGCTTGGAAGTGTCCTCCGACCAGTGCGGATTTCAGCAGCTGCTTCCGTGTCTTTAACCCCGTGAATGGGACCTGGGGGACGTTCTCACACTCGACAGGGTTTCCACCGCCGGTGCCTTGGGCCGCGTGGCGTTCGACGTGTGTGCGAAAGGCGACCCCAGGAACACCTGCCACAAGTCCCCAAGCAAGAGTTCCACAGGTCGACTCCGATAACGGTGGCTCCACTACTGGCACTAGGATGAAACGATCCGACCGTGCATGCCTTTCTGCTCGCACTGTGTCTTGATCTCGGTGATGAGTACGAGTGTGAGCGATGTGACACGTGACACGTGGGATTCGGAGAACTAACTTTCATTTTTAAATTAAGTCAACAGCGACGTGTTATCGCGATCTAATCACCAATCCGGTTTCATAGCTGCTACACGAGGTACTGGTACTGGCCCTTGTAGTACAGTACAAACCCGCTCATACTTCCAAAGCCAACCCCAACTATTACTTGCCTAAGCTTTAGGAACGTCACATGACCATACAGGCGCATACTACACGGTGATAATGACCACTGTCACTGACTAGTCTGGTCTCTGGCGATGGAAGGCTGAGGCACCAGTGCAGAAGCGTCGTCGGTGGTCGGGCCATTGTCACTACTAGTACTAGACACTATGACTATGACTCAGTATGAGTATGAGATAAGAATAGACCGGCGTCCGTCAGCATGGTCAGTGTTCGGGCTGCAGCTTGTTCTTGGTACATACTAACATAGTGCATTGTGCCCTTGCATGCACTGACTGTTGACAGTGTTGGGACTCGGGAGGTCATGCTGCAAGGGGAAGTCCCCGCGAGCCCATGTCGGACTTGCGCTCGCGCTCGTGGTACTGTCCCTTGTCATCATCAAGACTGCGTTTTTCAAACGAGTCTTTGAGTTTGAGCAAGTACAATGACATTACATTTTTGTAAATCAACAAGACTGGTACAGTCATCACTGGTCATAATTATAATATAAGGCATAGTGGTGGCCCGCGGAAGCGAAGGCTATAGCTTGTGTGTTTCTGAACATTCAAGTGATGCTAACGCGGATCCCGCGAATATTATTATTAGTAAAGGCATATAAATTGTACGAGATATCGGTAGCGACTTCGGTGATGAAGTAGTAACAGGAAAGGTGTTTGCTCCCCACCCCGGAGCTCGCGCTTTTCCGCAGAGCTGACTTGACACTGACTCTGACTCACGACTGCCATCCAGAGCACACGAGAAGTCCGTCGAACCTTCGACTCGGAAAACCTGCAAGAAAGCACCAGTCCCTGTTCTCACCGTACAGGAGCGACACTGCACTGACTGACACTGCTATCTGGTGTTCACGAGGTGTTTGTCGCGCTGGAAACGGAGCGTATCTGTAAGTTTGTATCCCAGGTGATGATTTGGCCCAAGAGCACTAGACAACCTACAAAGCACCTCTTCGTGCTCTTCGGACACAATCTTCCTTAGCTAACTCAAGCTCAACTGATGAGGGGTGAATTCCCCGAACAACTGTGTATTGAGCAGGGAGTGGTGCTTTCCTGCAGGTTTGCAGGTTCGATGGACTTCTCGTGTGCTCTGGATGGCAGTCGTAAGTCAGTCGAGTGCCAAGTACTAGTACACGTAAACTCCGCGAGCTCAGGTACTAGGTGTGGGGAGCACTGAAACGCTATTCCTATAAATGCACATTGTACATTGTAATTTTTTTCATCCTTTCAGTCATGTGACCTTTGAATACATTGTGCATTGTAATTTTTTTCATCCTTTCAGTCATGTGACCTTTGAATACATTGTACATTGTAATTTTTTTCATCCTTTCAGTCATGTGACCTTTGAATACATTGTACATTGTAATTTTTTTCATCCTTTCAGTCATGTGACCTTTGAATACATTGTACATTGTAATTTTTTTCATCCTTTCAGTCATGTGACCTTTGAATACATTGTACATTGTAATTTTTTCTAGGGCTCAAACGGTTAGTCCGATTAACCGGTTGCAGACCGGTTACGAAGAATTAACGGTTAACCGATAAAGATTACGCAGTAACTTTTCAGTCAATTTTTCAAGTATCACTATCAGGTCGTTGCAAAGTATGCACTTTCGCAGGCTGTCGCACGCGTACGCAATTTCTGGGCTGTCAACTCGGTCATATCTGGTCTCTTGGTGTGAGAGTATGTATGAATGAGCATGCAAGAGAATGTACATGTGTGCGTTGTACTGAAAAGGGTACATTTTTTGAATAAGTATACATGTAGTCAAATATACGGTTAAAAAAGAGTCTTTTCTGTGAGTTTTGTTGCTAGGAGACAACTAAAATGGTGCTCCACGCGTAGCTGAGGTCCAAAGCTTTCCAACGGTGTAAAAAACAACCATACTTACCATACAAATTTTTGCAGTATCGATCGGCTGAAGTCTGGTGAAATTGGAAAAGACGACCCTCCGCCATGCGCGCATTTCGAGAATGGGAGTGCATATCTTGAGGCCGTGTCAGAAAAGCTTTCTGAGGACACTGACGGCACCAGTCTAGGCTGGATGTCCCTGGAGAATTTCCAGTGTAATGTGGTGAGAAAGAGAGCTCCGTTGAGTCCTCCTAGCTCAAATAAATCGTCCCCGAATGAAGAAATCAAATTTACCAACCAGCGAGGAAGCACAGCAACAGCAACTCTTACAAGGACTTGTCAGGTGCGATCAGCTGATTCGCCTGGCCGTGAGAATCACGGCATGTGTGACATCGCGCCTGAGTACTCATCTGAGCGAGAGTGAATCTGACGCGAGCGGCGATGAGGTGAACGATCCAAAATTGTGATATTGTGGAACTGTTGCTGCTGGTGCATCGCCGATGGCTAGGTATTGGAGTTCAAGGACGGAATTAGGAGCATATATTCTTCCCAAAAGACGTAGCGCTTACCTGATTGTTTATCATAGGACTTCAGCTCCATCATGAACTTGGTATGCACTTCGTGCTGTGATTTTTGTGCTTTTTGTTCGCAATTGTATTTTCTCTCAACTTGAAGGGCTACCACGGGTCATACCCTTGCCTGGACATAGTCATATTTGTGTTTTCTGGATTCGTCAAGGCATACAGATATTGAAAATATATGGTTTACCCATACCTACAACTAACAGAACTTGAGTTATGGCTGGTTGTTTGTACGGGTGTTTGCGTGACCACCCCTCACATACATTGAGTAAGACCCACAAAGGGTTAAACCGACCGTTAGCTTAGCAGTTAACCGTTGGGGGTAAAACCGTGACCGTTTGAGCCCTAATTTTTTTCATCCTTTCAGTCATGTGACCTAGAATACATTGTGCATTGTAATTTTTTTCATCCTTTCAGTCATGTGACCTTTGAATACATTGTACAAGCAATGTAGCCTTGTAGGGTGGACGTGGCTCGGCTTCAACGTTCAGAATTTCACGCTATACTGCTGACCTTTCACTGTAGACTGTGTAGTACTACATGTGTGTACTACGAACTAGTCACTGCCACTGTGCTAGTACATGTACAGTTAGTCCCAGTGGTATGGCGAGAGAAATCCGCCGCAAGGTGGCAGTGTGTGGTTCGCAACCAGGCCTTGGCGGGTAATGCTCGACGAATCGACATACAATGTACATGTACATGTATTCTGCGCGAACAGCAGTGAAATCGGCAGAACCAAACAAACCTTATTGCAGGCACTTCCTTGAATTCTGCTCCATTTCTTTATCCACATACCAAACTACTTGCAAGAAACATAACAGGAACAGTACCAAATTCCAGTACCAAATTCCGCCACGGCTGGCTACTGTGCAGCCTGCGGCTGAGGCACTGGCTCAGGATGGGAGCATGGGAATCCAGTGAAGTGAATTGTGTGTGTGTGCCTGCGGCTGTAATACCGATTAGACACCTGCATTCCCTGTGACATTAATGGCTTTGTGACGCGCGAAGGACATTGTTCGTCTGCGTTATCAAACTTATTAAAGAAAACATGTCG